GCAAAGTCTGCACTGGCCACCACTCACCCTCAACTCCCCACTCTGTCCCTCTGCCCCAGAGTGTGTCCTGTGACAAGGACAGAACCTGGGAACCCAGGTCGCCCTGGGCCACAGGCGACGTTCGTAACCCTTCCTGGTGATCGATGTGATGCCCATTCCCTCCTTTGCCTTCCTGGGGACCCCCTGGAGTTGCCTGAGTTGGGTTTCAGTTTGGTTTGGGGTTTTTGCTGACTCTGAAGATGCCAGCCGCCCCCTCCCCACGTGCCTTCGTCCAGGTGAATCAAAGTCCTCATTCAGGGCCCTCCCCACCCAGGTGCACTTGGGACCTCAGAGCAGCTCTAGAAAATGGGGTGATGGAATTTGCGGGCATTCATATGAAGGGCACAGTCTTGCTAGAACGTGACGGTGACACTGCTGATAGGCGTGGACGGCGTGCTGGGGCCAGGGCCGCCCGCATTAACAGCATCGATGCCCGTGACGTTCACTCACATCCTGACGCCGTCATTCCAGCCGGGAGAAGGGTGCACCACGCGGAGGCGAGGACCCCGCTGACGGGGCCAGCCCCCCCCCCCCCCCCCCCCCCCCCCCCCCCCCCGCCCGCTGCCTGCCCAACAGCAGGAACTGTCACCCTGTCCTCTCCACAGCTGCCTGTGAGGGGCCTCGTCTTGCCGACAGAGAAACCCCTCCGCACCCACTTCTACTGAGCACTGTGCAGATCCGCAGACCGTGGGAGCTACTCGGAACGGATGTTTGTTTAACCCCGAGGACAGCTCTGTGAGGAGCGTGGCACCACTCCTCACAGAGAAGGAGACGAGGGCACAGAGCGGTCAGGACGCTGGTCCAAAGTCCAGGGGTCTGCAGCGGCCCGAAGACACACTCGGGCCCTAAGCACCACGCCCTGCCGTCTTCTGCCTACGAGGACGCAGCTTCTCCAGGCTCCCCCAGCAAGCTGCCCGCCGCCCTCGGGGGGCCTGAGGGGACACAGGGGGCTTGGGAGGCCCCCGCCCCCACCCGCACCCCCTGCTGGCCTTACCTGGGCTGGGCCTCCGGAAGAGTGAGTAGGCGGGACTGACCACCCTGGTGCAGTCGTGGTTGACGTAGCCCACGGTGGACGGCAGGACGTACAGGCCCGGTCCGCAGCCTGCGACCAAAGCCCTCGGGTGAGGGCCCGGGGCCGGACACCCTGAGACTTGCGGGAGAACCCGGGGCCGGCCCCTGAGCCCCCGCCTGGGCTCCCGGCCACCCTCCGTGGCACGTGGAGGTGGGGGAGCTGCCCCCACTGGAGGGGGAAAAGTGAGGGAGGGGCATTGTGAGTCACATCTGACTCAAAGGTAGGAGGGGCTGCAGGCCCAGACAGAGATACGCTGTCATGTGGGGAAACTGAGGCCCAGACACGGGGATACACTCTCACATGGGGGAAACTGAGGCCCAGACACGGAGATACACTGTCACGTGGGGAAACTGAGGCCCAGACACGGGGATACACTGTCACGTGGGGAAACTGAGGCCCAGACACGCAGAGATACAATTGTCACAAAATGTGGGGAAACTGAGGCCTGGAAGACACGGGATACACCACTGTCACGTTGCCAGGGAACCGGAGTGCTCCAGACACGGAGAGACTACCAAGTCACATACGTGGAGAAACTGAGGCTCCAGGTGCAGACACGGAGATAAAGAAAGACTGTCACGTAAAACTGGAGGGCCCAGACACGAGAGAGAACATCATCACTGCTAGAGGAAAACTGGAGGGCTCCAGACACGGAGAGAGACACTGACTACTGCTGCCAGGGAAACCAGGAGGCCCAGACACGGAGAGACACTGTCACGCTGGGGGGAAACTGGAGTCTGTGACATTGTGGGATACACTGTCACTTGGGGAAAAAAAAACTGAGGCCCAGACACGGAGAGCTGACTTGTCACTTAAAAAACTGAGCAGACACGGAGAGACACTGTCACGCCGCTAGGGGAAACTTCCTTCCTGAGTGTGCCCAGATTAACAATGGAGATACACTGTCACGCTAGAAACTTCTGAGCTCCAGACACTCGGGAGATACACTCCTGTCATGTTGGGGGGAAACTGAGGCCCAGACACGGAGATACACTGTCACGTGGGGAAACTGAGGCCCAGACACAGAGATACACTGTCACGTTGGGGAAACTGAGGCCCAGACACGGAGATAAGACTCGTCAGTAATGCGGGGGAAACCGAGGCCCGTGCGTGCGCAGCGGCAGCAGTGCATTGGGACGGGATACACTGCTACGGGGAACTGAGGCCCAGACACGGAGATACACTGTCACGTGGGGAAACTGGAGGCCCAGGACACGGGGATACCCCCTCGTCAATGCTGGGAAACTGGAGTGTGAGTCTGCGGTGCAGGACACACGGAGACACCGTTTCACGCGCGGGAGAAAACTGTGAGGCCCAGAATACTTTATGATACACTGTCAATGGGGAAAAAACTGTGGTGAGGTCTGAAAAAAAGACAGACACGGAGAGATTAGGAATATTGGCCATGCTGAGGAAAAAACTGAGTGAGGCAGCTCCAGGACACGAGAGACACTGTCATCAAGAAAAACCGAGGCCCGTGACACGGGAGAGACAGACTGTGGTCAATGTTGGGGAAAAAAAACTGAGGCCCAGCATTAACAGGGATACACTGTCACGTTGGGGAAACTGAGGCCCAGACACGGAGAGACACTGTCACGTGGGGAAACTGAGGCCCAGACACGGAGAGACACTACCACTTGGGGTGGGGAACGAGGCCTGGGGACACACGGAGATACACTGTCGCTGGGGAAACCGAGGCCCGGTGACACAGATAAGCACTGTCATGTTAGAACCGGAGGCCTGGTGACAGAGATATAACACTCACTGTCACAGCATGCTAGAAAAAACTGGAGGCCCAGACACAGAGATACACTGTCATGTTGGGGAAACTGAGGCCCAGACAGAGGTACACTGTCACGTTGGGGAAACTGAGGCCCCGACAGAGACACCCCACCACAACTGCAGTGCTTGGTGTCCTCAGCAAGAATGTCAGGGCCACGGAGCTTAACTCCTGCTGTCTTGCTACACACAGATAAATGAGGCAGGGGCCTCGACCCTCACTGAGAATGCACAGCATCAGAAGCAGGATGCCCGTGGCCCCTGCGGAGTGTCCAGGCCTCAAGCCTCCACACCCGCCCGTTCTCTCCTTGCTGCTCTAGGTTGTTGAAGGCACTTATCACTAATATGCCATAAATTCTGCTTATTGGTTTTGCCTTGTGTGTGTCTCCCCCACAGACCTTTGCTGCTCTGTCACTGCTGTAGCATCAGCACCTGCAAGGGTGCCTGGCCCATAAAATGCTCAGTCCTTGCTGGGTGGAAGACTGCACAAGAACCGACAGAAATGCTATGTTCACACCCATTCTGCTGGGAGGAAAACTGAGGTTTGGGGAGGAGCAGGGAGTCATCAGAGCCTCCCCCCTCCAGGTGGCTCCCAGAATATTCTAGAAGCCCCAGCACAGCTGGGGAGAATAGAGGACCAGATCCCACCACCATGGCCTCCCTCCCCCACAGTTGGTGCGTACCGTTCTCCGAGGTGGCCGTCCCACAGGACTTCCTCAAGCCGGTCTGAACACTCTGGCATTCAGTGGTCAGCCGTGGAGCAGGGTTGCAGCTAAGGGTCCCCATGGTGAGCAGGGGAGGTGGCTGCACGAGGCACAGGGGCCGGGCAGGTCCTGCGCCTGGTGTTTTCTCCTCAGCTGCAGCGGCTCCGGGCCGCAGGTCAGGTACTGTCCTCAGTCCTTGCAGCCTGTGCTGGTGTCGGCAGAGCCCCAACCTCACCACGCCCCCCTGGGGACGGCACAGACAGTCCCTTGTCCCGCAGCACAGAGTCTTGGGGCCCCGGCCCTAGCAGGCTGGTCGGCGGACGTTGGCCTGGAAGTGAGGCCAGGATCAAGTGTCGGCCCGGTGGCTGGATGGTCCAGGGAAGAATCCGGTGTCAGCAGAGCAAGTCCCCGGAGAGCCGCCAAGCTGGGCAGCCGGGGCCAGAGAAGGCTCCAGGGAGCCAGAGCCACAAACACAACACCTACAGCCATGTAGCAGAAGGGACTGGTGAGGTCATGGGCAGTGCGGCCCCATTTCTACAGCTGGGGAAACTGAGACGCAGCCCAAGGTCGTACAGTGAGTTTACCACTCTGGGGGTTGCAACTTTAGGCCGAGAAGCCTGCCTGCATTCTTCCTTCCTTCTTGCCTTCATCCAATAAGCACCTATTGAGCACCTACTGCATACAGGTTCTGTTTGGGTTGGTGGGGATACAACAGGAATACACAGACAAGAAGGTAGTGTTCTCAGGAGAGGACAAAGGAAACAGACAATAACCTAATAAATAAGCACATAGTATATAAGAAGGCGTCAAATGTGCTAGAAAACAGGGCCGCCTGGGCGCTCAGTCGGTTGAGTGTCAGACTTCGACTCAGGTCATGATCTCGCGGTTTGTGGATTCGAGCCCCGTGTCGGGATCTGCGCTGACAGCTCAGAGCCTGGAGCCTGCCTCAGACTCTGTGTCTCCCTCTCTCTCTGCCCCTCCCCCACCCCCGCATATGTGTGCACCCACACGTGCTCTCTCTCAAAATAAATAAACTATTTTAAAAAATGGAAGAGAGACATTACTACAGACCCCACACATTAAAGGGATAGCATGGTCTGTGTGAGGCCACCAGAAAATTCCCATGTGCTCAGGCACTTCATGTGCCTCGTGTTGTTTAATTATCTCAGCATCTCGCTGACGGAAATGCAGCTGCTAAAACCTCACCTGTGGTTACAGGTGGGGAAACTGAGGCTCAGAGCTCAGGTCCCTGAGTAACATCAGCAGAGCCAGGAGTTGAATCCAGGGCTCTCTGGCTCAGATTTTAGCTCGAGGGTCCAGGTCTTCTCCCAGACTGCAACCCCAGCTCAGCCTTCTGGGAGTGCTGGGGGTCCACTGCCAGCCCTCCCTGGCACTCGAGGCCCCACGGGGCCCAGTCTTGCCCCCTCTGCCCTCGCCCCCTCTCCTCTGGCCACAGTAGCAACCTCCCAGCCCTTAAAGCCACTCAAGCCAGTTCCCACCTCAGGGTGCTTACTGGGCTCCCTTCACCTGGGGAGACTCGGCCAACAAATCAGCCCATAGCCAGCCCCATCCTCAGTAACCTGTGGGCCCCCAAAGTACACAAGCCATTGCTTCCTTCCAGAAGCAGCACAAACTCCAGAGCTGTGACCAGAACTGGGCACTGAGGATGGAGATGGGAGATAGACACCCCCACCTCCTCCTCTCCCTCCTGGCAGAGTCTCTGATTGACCCAAGCTGGCCAGAAGTGCAGGATACGGCCGCTGGGGTCAGCCTCAAGGACCCTAGGCCAGGCAGAGAAAGACCAGCGTGCCGGCCGGAGGACAGTCCTTCATCCAGGTTCTAGCTGGGACTCAGCTGCCTTAGTTTCCCCACCGTGACATAGGAAGGAGCCAAGAGCGAGTGTGGGGTGGGGAACAGACTGGAATGATTGCCTGAGCCTGAAAGGGAGGTTTTGGGGGCCTCAAGGTCCAGCAACATCACCAGACTGAGCTTAGGCACCCCAGCCGGCCTCGACCCGTGACCACCCGACTCCTCCAGCTCTCACTTTCAGCTCAGAACCCGCACAACTGCCAGGTAACAGCATGTGAATGAGAAGCTAATTAATTCTAAGCCCATGCACATGAGCCACGTTTTTAATCCAACGTATTCACTGGCAGAAAAGAGCAGATCAGCAAAGTGAAACGAGGAAGCCCGGACTGGGATGGGGCACAGGGCTCTGCCCTGGCAATACGGCGCCGCGTGGGGGCCGCGACTGAGGCCGTGGGCCTCAGTGCCTCGGAGGAGGCTGCAGGGTCTGAGCGCATAAGGGTTAACCCGACCTTTACCCATCCGTGTGCCCACCGCGTGCAGGCGCTGTTCAGGTGCTGGGAAAAGACGTGTGCACAAAACACACAAACTCCCTTCCTCACCCTTTTGTTGAAAGAAGCAAACAAGTGAGTTACACTGCTTTCGAAGGCAAAGCAGTGCCGTGGAGCAAAACCAAGGCTGGGGCGCCCCGGGGGGACTCCGCCGGTTAGGCGGCCCACTTGGGCTCAGGTCGTGATCTCACGGTCCGTGAGTTTGAGCCCCGCATCCAGCTCTGTGCTGACAGCTCAGAGCCTGGAGCTGCTTCGGATCCTGTGTCTCCCTCTCTCTCTGCCCCTCCCCCACTCAAGCTCTGTCTTTGTCTCTCTCCAAAATAAACAAACATGGAAAGAAAGAGAAAGAAAGAAAGAAAGAAAGAAAGAAAGAAAGAAAGAAAGAAAGAAAGAAAGAAAAAGAAAACCAAGGGTAAGGGGAGGTTGGAAGTGTGGAGAGTTTCCAGTCTGACATGAAGTGGTCACTGAGAAGGTGACATTCACGCAGAGACTTGAAGGAGGTTGGGGGTGGAGGGGGCGGTCTGGGGAGAAGACACAGCAGGCAGAAGCCCAGCGGGTACAAAGGGTCTGAGCCTCGAGTGCACCGGGCGTCCGGCAGGAGCAGCGAGGAGGCCCGTGTTAGGTGGAACAGAACGAGCGATGGGGAGAGAGGGAGCGGACGTGCAAGGTCCCGGGGGAGGCACCGCGGAGCCCCGGAGGGCCGCGGGCAGAGCTGGCACCTCCTCGAGCCGGTGCTCACCGGCGCCCTCTGGCGGCCGCGGGGAAACAGACCGTGAGCGGGGCTCAGGGGAGGGGGCTGGTCCCGGAAGGCTGTGGGGAGGTGGGGGGCTTGGTGGGCGGTGGTGGAGGAGGAGGTAAGAAGCAGGTGGGTCCTGGATCTATTTTAAAACTACAAGCAACAGGGTTTGTGGCACATTTGAGGTAGGGGTGAGGGGACCGGAGGTGTTGGGGACGCTCCCTGTTACTAGGAGGGAACACGCAGGGGAGGGGCAGGTTAGGAGAAGGTCTAGAGCTCAGTTTGGGAACTGTGAGGTGTGGACTCTCCGGTGGACAGCCAGCTATGCGGGTCCAGGCTGTTGGCTCTCTGGGCCACATAATAAATCCCCCCCTCCCAACACAGTGGCTCAAAAACACCCACATTTCTTACATCACAGCTTCTGAAGACAGTCCATAGACAGAGTTGGGTCCTCTGCTCAGGCTGCAGTGCTGCTGTTGGCCAGGGCTGAGGGCTCATCCGGAGGCTCCCCCGGGGAGGGGCCCACGTCCCAGCTCCCCGGGGTTGCTGCAGGATCTGTGGCTGTGGGACTGGGGGGCCCACCTCCAGCTGGCTTCTGGCCAGGTGGCCTCCAAGCATGGCTGCTTAGTTTCTCAAAGCCCCAAAGGAAAAAGTCTGCGCAACATGCAGGATGGAGCTTATGTTGTTTATAACAGTAACGGGAGCAGGTGTCCCACCCAGGGCCCGGGTTCTTCTTCCCTCTCTCAGCCCATCTCTTCCTGAATCCATTGGATCCCTCTTCAATCACGTATCACTGCCCCCAAATCCCCTCGCGTCCCTTCTTCCCCTGCTACCCGTCTTCTGCACAAGAACAAAATGATCTTTTGAAGTCAAAAAGTCACCCCGTACCTGTGTCCTGCTCACAAAACATTCCCCAGGCTCCCACTGTGCCATCAACAAATCCAAACTTCTAACCTTGCCTTTGTTTGGCTGTGAGGGCACAGGCTGCATTTATTGGGCACCTACTACATACCAGCCTCTGTGCAGGTGCAACAACACAGCCCACAAGAAACAGAATGCAAACCACATGTGCAATTTTGAATTTTCTAGCAGCCATGTCAGAAAAAGAAACAAGATCATTTTAATGATACATTTTATTTAACTCAGCATAACCAAAATGTCATTCCAGCATACAAAAGTTGTGCTTGAGACATTTTACATTCTTCTTTCCTGCTAAGGCTTCAGAACCTAGTGTGTCTTGTGCCCACAGCACATCTCAGCTTGGGGTCCAGATGCTCAGCCACGGTCCAGATGCTCGGTGACCACACGTGGCCACTGTGTGGTCAGCACAGATTCAGAGTGCTTTAGAACCAAACCCTTAGTCCTGTGGCAGTCGGTCCCCCAGGGGACACTGCAGAATGTCTAGGGGCACCTTCTGTTGCAAAGACTGGGTGGGAAGGGTGCTCCTGACACTTGAGGGTGTGGGAGCCAGGGATGCTGCAGGGGAGACTGATGCAGAGGGCTGCAACCAGCATCTGTCCCCAGAGATCAGGCCTGCCCACACAGCCAGCACGGACATCCCTGGACAGGATGCTTCCTGCCCTCCAGAAGCCCCACCGTGCCCCCTTGCACTCCTGTCCTCCCCTCTACCCTGTAACCACCATGGTGACTTCAAAAGCAGGGCTATATTGTCCCCCCCTTTTTTTGCTTTACATAAATGGTAGTGCACTGCGTTCCCGTGAGCCCTCTTTCCCTGGACCTAGTGTGTACGATTCATCCTCTTGCTGGGTTCGACTGTAGACCATTCACTCTCATTGCTGGGTGTAATATCCCGTTGCATGAAGACGGCACACTTTATCTGATGAGCTTCTAGGAGGTTTCCCCTTGAGGCTACTGCAGATAATGCCGTTCCCAACATTCCAGGCGGAGGGCACAGCCTGTGCCAAGGCCCTGGGGAATCGCTGGGCCTTTGTGTTGAAGAGCGAGGAAGCTCTTGTGGCTGGACCAGCATAGCAAGGAGGAGAGGAGGAGAGGGAGGGAAGGGAGGAGGACGGGGTGAGGGGGCAGGTGGTGGACATGGGCTTTTACCCTGAGGGAGGTGGGAGCCCTGAAGGGCCCTGGGCAGAGGAGGGGTGAGGTCAGGTGTAAGAGAAAAGAAGCCAAGGCTTCTTTGGACCTGAATCTCCTCAAGAACGGATCTGACCTTAACCCAGACGAGGGGGTCTTATTTCTTTAGTTGTTTATCGCCAGTCAGCCCCCACACTCCTCTACGCAACACGCTAGCACACGCACGCATAGGCGCGCGCACAGGAAGAGGCGGTAGGAGTCCAGAGCAGGTGCAGAGCAAACACCTTTGACTTGTGGGTGAAGGGGGCTATCACTGACATCACCACTGCTGTGGGTCTCAGTCCCCACCATTCCCTTCTGGAATCATCTGGAGGCTGAAAGTGGGGCTGCACCGCCAGGAGGCTGGGTCAGTGACTGGCCTGCTGTTCTCCGTCCCTGGCACACGGGTGGCAGCAGGCCAGGTGTTCATGGGCCGCCCCATCCAGCGTTAGCTGCGGCTCTGGCTCCCCAGTTGCCCTGATCTGTCACTCCCCCAGGGCACTCGCAACTGTCCTCTGTCCTGAGGTCAGCCCCCTGACTCAGACTCACGTGCCTCTGCGGCTGCCTGCCCCTTTGTTCCGAGCGGACTCTAACAAAGAAGACTTGTTCTCCCAAGACAAGAACGCAGTGAACCAGGGGAGCCAGGCTCCCCTCCGCTCTCCCTCCAGGCAAGTGGCAGCTCTCCACGTGGGACAGAGCTCTCGTGTTCTGCTGGGTGCCCGGCTGCGTGTCTGCCAAGTCTCCATTTTACAGGTGCAAACACTGAGGTTCAGAGGAAGGAAGGGCTGTATTGGGAGGACTGGAGGGCTGGATGGGGGTCCCGGCAGGCTTCCTGGAGCCTACAGACTCCTGCCCGGCCAAGTGCTTTCTCTCCTCTCTGGCTCCATCCATCCCTCTGCTGCGGCCCTCTGCCTTCTCTGCTTTTCTAGAACACACCAGGCAGCCCCAGCCTCAGAGCCTCTGCACTCACTGTACCTTCCACCCGGTACACCCTTTCCCCCATACATGCTTGCGAAGTCTCTGCTCAGACCCCTCCTTGCAAACATCTTCCTCTGACCGCCCAGCTTACCACTCTACCGACCCCTCTTCCGCCTTACTCGTTTTTTCTCACAGAATTTATCACTGGCTAACACAGTGTACCCTTCTTCCCATTGTCCAGTGTTGGCCTGGAGTTGTGAGAGACGACTGTGCAGCTTGCAGGAGTTTCGTGAGCTGGCTGATGCCATGTGGGTAGTCATGATGGTGGTTTGATCAGCCACCACGGGATAGCGACACCACAGGAATGAGCATGCGCCACAGAGTTAGGCTTTTTACCCTGTGTCTCCTGCCCCCTCCCCCTTCCATTAGAATGAACGCTCCTTGGGGCAGGGGTCTGCCCACCTTGATTTCTGCTGTCACCCTGGCACCTAGAACAATGCTTGGCATCTAGGAAGCATTCAATAAATACTGGTTGAATTGAGTGACCCTCATCCCTAGCAACTGCTCTCAGACTTTTTGACATCAGGCCCCCCGTGACAAACCACCCTTCCGCCTGACTCTGGTCTCTGGCACCATTTCGCCAGACTCCGGAAACATCCTCCAACCTTTAGATGACACGCTCGAGCTCCCCAGCACCTTGGCCCCAGGGCGGTCAATGAGCCCCCGGCCTCCAGCAACAGGGCTCCTTCTCGCAGAGGGATCCCAGCGCCCCTAGCCGCGATCCCGGCCCCGCGGGGAAGAGAGCAGGAACCCCGCGGCCTCGGACTCCGGTCCCAGAGACGCCCCTCTGTGCACTCATGCCGCGCGTATCTATCGAGCGCCTGCTGCCTCCCGGGTTCCGCACGCAGATCCCGGGTTCAGGACCTCTCGCTGCCTCCCCGACACTGGCCCCGCGGCCGCGCGACCGAGACGTCGGGCCGGTGCCCACCCCAGAGGGTTGGGGGCGGGGGGCGGGGGACGAGCACCGCAGTTCCTCGCGCGACCTCGCAAGCAGCCAGGTGCCCACAGCACGCGCCCCTGCCCCCGCGGGTCCGCGGTTCGGGGCCCTGCAGGCGCTGTGCGCGGTGCTTTGTGGGAAACACCGACCGGGGTCCGCGGCATGCCGGGAGTTGTAGTGCGGCAGCGCGGGGCGAGCGCAGGGCCCGCCGGGACTTGTGGGCGGGACCGGGGCCGGAAGGCAGGATGCGAACGTGCTGCGGGGCCGGGGCGCCGCTGCCGACGACAAGATTCGCGATGTCCCGCTGGCTAAGAAGATCGTCACCGAGGTCGGCGGCGCCGAAAGTGCCCGAGCCCCTGCCCACCCCTGGCCCTCGGCGCCGGCCCGATCCGGAACCCTACCCCAACCCTAACCATACTGGGCACCCATAGCCCGTGTGGACGGGCCGGGACGCCAGTCTCAGCCTTGGACGCTGAACCCCCTCCCTTCCCAGAAGCCCCAACGCCAGCTCGGTCCACCCAGGCCCCCGTCGCAGACACCCGGGCACCGTCCTGCAACCTCAGCTCCCACCTTCCTCGCAGAACCACCTCCATGCTCTGCACTTGGCCCCGCCTCATCACTCAGACATAACTGCTAGACTCCCGTCCGTGCCATCCGTGGCCTAACTCATGTCGCAGGTGCAGACGCCTGAAAGAAGCTTCCTGGGCAAGAGACCTTCTCTGAAGGGCTCTGGTGTGAGCGCCGACCGTGACCCCCGGCCTCAATCCCTACCCCTCCACTATCGTCACCCATCCAGCATTTCCCAACCTCTGAAGTTCCCAGCACTGCTGGCATTGGGGCTCGATTGTTCTCTGGGCCCCGTGGGGGGGTTGAGCAGTAGCAGCCCCCATCGCCATGCCAGGAGCACTCCCCCCACCCCCACCCCTGACAACCACCTGCCTCTGCTACATATCACTCAGGATCACCAGGGTAAGAACCACTGTCCTAGTGTGATAAAACACCAGGGGTTCCCAGGTCTTAGCCTGCAGGTAGGTGGAGGAGAGGGGAGCTACCCACCTAACCAAAGGACATTTCCATTCTGTGCCCAAGACAGGCCACAAACCCAGCCTGAGGACAGAGCCCCCTGCCCACTAGAACACACAGCTCACTTAAATGCTCCAGCAACCGGGGCGCCTGGGTGGCGCAGTCGGTTAAGCGTCCGACTTCAGCCAGGTCACGATCTCGCGGTCCGTGAGTTCGAGCCCCGCGTCGGGCTCTGGGCTGATGGCTCAGAGCCTGGAGCCTGCTTCCGATTCTGTGTCTCCCTCTCTCTCTGCCCCTCCCCCGTTCATGCTCTGTCTATCTCTGTCCCAAAAATAAATAAACATTGAAAAAAAAAATTTTTTTTTAAAAATGCTCCAGCAACCATGTTGAAAAAAATACAGTGAAAAAGGGACATAAATAGCATCTGGCTGGCTCAGTCAGGGGAGCATGCGACTCTTCTTGTTCTAGGGTTATGGGTTTGAGTCCCACATTGATGGAAAGATTACTTAAAAAAAAGTCTTAGGGCGCCTGGGCAGCTTAGTTGGTTAAGCCTCCAACTCTGATTTCAGATCAGGTCATGATCTCTTGAGGCCAAGTGTGGCGGGCTCCGCTGGGCATAGATCCTGCTTAAGAGTCTCTCTCTCCCTCTGCCTCTGCCCCTCCCCAGCTCATGCTCTATAAATCAATAAATCAATACATAACTTTCTAAAAAGTAGCATAGGGGCACCTGGGTGGCTCAGTTGGTTAAGCGTCCGACTTCCTTAAGCTCAGGTCATGATCTCACATGATCTCTCATGATCTCAGGTCATGAGTTTGAGCCCCGCATTAGGCTCTCTGCTGTCAGCATGGAGCCTGCCTCTGATGCTCTGTCCCTCTCTTTCTGCCCCTCCTCTGCTCACTCTCTCTCTTTCAAAAATGAATAAGCCTTTTTTAATTTAAGTTTATTTCCCTTGAGAAAGAGGGAGAGCACACTCGAGCAGGGGAAAGGCAGAGAGAGAGAGGGCAAGAAAGAATCCCAAGCAGCCTCCTCGATGTCAGTGCAGGGCTCCAGCCCACGAACCAGGAGATCATGACCCGAGCCGAAAGCAAGAGTCAGACACTTAACTGACCGAGCCGCCCAGTGCCCCCAAAATAAATAAATTTTTTTTAAACTTTAAGGGGCACCTGGGTGGTTCAGTCAGTTAAGTGTCAGCTTTCGGGTCAGGTTATGATCTCACGGTTCATGAGTTCGAGCCTCGAATCAGGCCCTCTGCTGTCGGCGTGGAGCCTGCTTCGGATCCTCTGTCTCCCTCTCTCTCTGCACCTTCTCCACTCGCATTCTCCCTCTCTCTCTCTCTCAAAAATAAACATTTTGTTGACAAAGCAGGAAAGAACATCCAATGGAAAAAAGACAGTCTCTTTAACAAATGGTGCTGGGAGAACTGGACAGCAACATGCAGAAGGTTGAAACTAGACCACTTTCTCACACCATTCACAAAAATAAACTCAAAATGGATAATGGACCTGAATGTGAGACAGGAAACCATCAAAACCTTAGAGGAGAAAGCAGGAAAAGACCTCTCTGACCTCAGCCGTAGCAATCTCTTACTCGACACATCCCCAAAGGCAAGGGAATTAAAAGCAAAAGTGAATTACTGGGACCTTATGAA